GCCATTTTCATCAGTTTGATTAGCATAAATAACAGAGTCACGGTCTGTTTCAGTGAGATATTTTTCCCACCAAGATTTGAGCATACCAGTAAAACCAGAGGTAAGTAAGGAAACAACTTCAGGTTGAGAGTATTGAGGATAATTACTGAGATAACTATTGGCGACCATAGATAAATGATTTAATTTTTGAAGGATTTGATCTTCACTGAGACCATCAATATTTCATTCGTATAATTTTTTGGCAGAAACAGAAAATTGATTATTAATATTTGTCTCTTCAAATTGGAGGTCGACAGGAGTTGGTTTAGAATACCAGTTTTTGGTATTGTGAGGATTAATTTTGGGATAGTGGATTTTATTCAGATGAGAAGATTGAAATTGTTGAGCTAATTGATTTATTTCATTATCAGTAGTGTCAGTTTCAGATTGATCAGATATAGTATTAGTAATAGGTTGTTGATTCAAAACAGTAAGACCTTTATCCTTAGATGTAGAAGTATCATTAGGAGTTAATTTAGTAAATAATTGTTCGATAGCTTTGACAGTAGATTGATCATTAGTAACTAGGCTGGTTCGTTTCGAACGATGATTAGGAAGATTAAGCAAAGGTTGCTCAAGGATTTTAAAAGGTTTCGTTGATTGTTGTTCTTCGAGATTAATTTCTAATTTATCTAATTGTTTACCAATTGTTTATAAACATTGATTAGTATAATTATTTTGTTCAATAACTTTTTTGATTTCAGGATCAGTACCAGGTAACTTAAAAGGAGAGGCTGGGACTTCAGAACCTTGGTGATCAATAATTATATTTTCTAAAGGAGGATGATTAGAGCTCACAGAAGTATTAGGATAAGTTTTCCACTTATGTTTGGTGATTGTATTAATCTTTTTATAATATTGATCCATATAATCAAAGAAAGATAATTCAAAACCATATTGAACCATAAAATCATACCATTTTCTAGTTATGCGAGATTGTTGAGCAGAATCATATTTAGCACGATAGGCATGTCTCTTAGTCCTATTATCATTGGATCTAAAGTCAATAAGTAGTTTATCTAAATCAGGAGTAAAATCTTTTTTGATTGTCATTAGTTGAGGATTGACAGGTGGTATGAATTCTTCGAAATCAGTTTGAGTTGGGGAATTATTTGAAGCTATTTCTTCTTCAGGGAAATGTGAGGTAGTAGTATAAACAGGTTTACTGATTTGAGAAGTTGTAGAATTATCAATTCCTTTTAATTTATTTTTGGAAATTGGATTAGTAGGACCAAAATGGATTTGACTATTTTTTCGAAATAACGGAGTGTTAAATATTTCGTCTTCAGTTGATATTTCAGAAGGGACACTAGATGTACTATGTCTAGAAGACTGACTGCGATTAAATTTAATATTAACGGATCCATCAGTATTTTGCTGGATATGTTTAATATCTTGGATCGAAGATTGTTGTTGATTATGTTTGTAATTTTCATTGACAGTAACCCATTGATCAGGTAAATTAATATCTTTCCATTCAATCATGTGAGGAATGTTAATGTTTGATTCATTAGTACTACTGCTTTGGATTAGTAAAGTTTTATCTTTGGGACTTTTATGTAGAGCATGAACATTTAAATTAGTTTGCATACATTTATAATGAACACGATAAATCAAAGCAATATTATGGGAAGAATCTAACATTTCAGTATATTCGCCATGTAATTGAATGTTTAATGTTAATGCCTTGAGAATATGTGGATCTCGTAAACTTAATGTAAAATCAGGAAAACAGTTAAAATGTACGGGACCTTTATTAAGACCAGTTTCCATCATTCCCATTAAACTAGCATTATAATTGAGAAAACGGGCATCTCTTAAACAGAGTAAAACAGAAGTATTTTGTCCTATCATAGTTAATGGATTGACACCAATTTGAATTAAACCAATATGCATAAAATTGTAACCACGATCTAAATGTCGTTTGATTAATTTTTTATCAAATAACTGACAGGTTTCTCTTGGTTTTTCGAGAGCATATACTTGTTCAATAGTTTTAACATGGAGAGTAACTTTAAAAACATTCTGTAGAAAAGAAGTTTGATAAATCTCTTTAATAGGCAGTTTTGGAATATTTCATCCAGAGTTAATTGAATCATTTTGTATTTCAACATCTTCTTCATTAATTAAGATTCCTGGATTAGGTATGGAAGGCAAGGTCGTTGACCTAGAACTGACTGATGAGTTACTTCTAAATAATCGATTCATTGTTTTGGTTTAATTAACCAGTTTTACAGATAGCTTAATACATACCCTATTCTTGTCAATTTACCACATACCTAGTATACATACATACCCTATCTTTAAACCCCAAAGTCTGACTGTGCCTAAACCGAAGGACGTTCACAAGACTGGGAAGAAGTGGGTGACTTAAACTAGGTGGGTAGAACAGACTGATCTTGTGGGTGATTAAAATATCGAAAAACAGGATTAATTAAACAAACAAGGAAGACGATTGACCAGAAGTAGCTAAACAGTTAGAAACAGGATACAACATCACTTGGCTCTGATACCATGAAGGCGGAAGCAGCATAAAATGTTACACTGTATAAAAGTAAAATTTTACTCTGAAAAACTAGTAAAATATTAGACTCCACACAAAAGTAAAATTTTACTCTGTATAAAAGTAAAATTTTACTCTGAAAAACGAATAAACTGTGAGACTTTGAAGTTAAAAGTAAAATTTTACTCTGTATAAAAGTAAAATTTTACTCTGAAAAACTAGTAAAATGTTAGACTCTACACAAAAGTAAAATTTTACTCTATATAAAAGTAAAATTTTATTCTGAAAAATGAGTAAACTGTGAGACTCTAAAGTTAAAATTAAAATGTTACTCTGCACAAAAGTAAAAAAACGAAGGCAGTGTTTGTGGCGGCTGAAGTGTTTGGCAATGACCACCTCTTAATAGTAAAATTTTACTGTCATTCTAACACCAGAGTAAAATTTTACTCTAATTCTCTCAAACAAAAAATAGAGCAGTAGAACAAGAGTAAAATTTTACTCTCATTATCTGAAACAAAAAACAGAGCAATAGAACCAGAGTTTACTCTGGTTCTGTCAAATGAAATTAGATAAAAAAACAACAAAAAAAAAATCAAAAAAAAAAAAAGAAGCAAACAAACAAACAAACAAACAAAAACAAAACAAATTAATCAACAAATCAACATATCTAATTGAGAAGAAAAACTTCTAAAACTCGATCAACAATCACAAATCTCAATAAAAAGAATACATGTGTTCAACAACACTCATACACACAAATATATATATATATACATATATTCAAAACTCAAATCTGTGTTTAAAAAAATATGTATAACCAAACAACTCCACCAACACTCTTCTCCACGTGGTCATCATTGTTGATCGCACGTCGTTGCTGAATGATGTTAGAGAAATCAATGAAAAGATCGGAGTAGAGAGATATGACTTTGGATATATTGCGGTTGATCTCTCGAATTAAGGCAACGTTCTTGACGAGATTGTCAGGCATCTTCGACTGGTGATTCTCGTTAACTTGTTGAATCAAAGCTCGATTCCAGAGGGAGCGTCGGAAGAGAATCGGACGCTGGCGGCGTTGGCGAGGTCTGAAGCTTCCAGATCTGAAGCTTGAATGAGTTAGAGAAGGGAGAGAGGGAGGAGAAAGACAGAGAAGGTGGGCAGAGAGTGGGTGGAAAAAGTGAGAAAATTTAGTTGAGGGTATGATAGTCTACTAAAATATTTAAATAATAAATTTTGTCCTTTATGCAAGATTTTATAATTATGAGGGGGTTTAGAAAGTATAATTTTTTTCTTAGTCCTTTTAATAATGAAAGGAAGGTAAAAAGAGTTTATAGCCAAATTTTCCTAATAAGATGCCCATCAAACAAATTACTCATAATATTCACTGGTTAACCAAAAATATTTTGAGAAATTGACCCATAAATCCTAAAAGGTGGGATTGTAATATAATCAGTCCCATATTTAATTTTGTACACCCAAAGGTCCCCTAATTTAGGGGTGGACAGTTTTGCCCATGAACTTATTGTTTTGGGTTTGGTGATATTATGTTTGAATAATGTGGGTGTATGTAACGTTTGGGAAAAGGACTTGAACGTCAGAAAAATCATTCCATAATTACATAATGAGATCCTTGGGATCACATTACCAAAAAAATAGGACTTGGATGTCTATTAATTTTAAAATGGGACTTCATAGACTACAACTCTCCAAAATGGGAGTTTCCAATAATTTTCCCAAATATTTTTGTTCAACATTAATCTATCATAATTTTTCAAAACATAAACTTTCAAAATATAAACATTCACACCATTCCACCATTAGCTTAACCGAACACAAATATTTAGCAAATAAACATATATAATTTAAGTTATACGGTTTGGTTTAGTTCAAATCTGGAACCATAGACTTAAATCCAAAACCAATCCACAAAGACCAATTCCCCAATTCTCCAAATCAAGACCGAATCACAAATTAAAAAAACTAAACCAAACTTACCAGATAATCTGGACCGATTCAATTTGTGAATTTTTTGATTTCCTTGTTCAACCCATAGCAACCCAACTAAAATATAAAATAGAAAGCTAAATGAGCCGATGAAAAATCAACATCCACAGCAACAAAGAAAACATGGGTGCTACCGTCCACATCGATTACAGTGCCACTCCAACTGAGACATTGCTACGTCCAGGCATGAATGCCAACGCCTAGAGAGTCAATGCCCATAAACTCTTCCCGGTGTGAACACCAAGGGATCAAATGATGAATAGTATACCTTTTTTCCATTGGTATGAATCCCCAAGTCCCGCATTTGGGCCACTTTGTGTGGACACATGAGGTCACTCATGATTTCCATAGACATTTCATTAAGCTCTATAATCAGCAGTCCTAAACTAGAGTCTCATATCCCTAGGAAATTGCATGTGCCTACAAATTCAACATCAAACTTGCAAAGCCACCATAATATGCAAAGACTATTAACTTTCACATTCGATTTTCTCTGTTCATTCTATCTTTCAATGCCAATACAGAAACATGCTCTTCATTATCACCACAATGGATGTGAGGGAAACCTAATACTCCATGCAACAATACATAGTTATGAAGACCATGTACATGCACATTTCAAACACTCCCTATACATTTTATGGCAATTACACTAAGAAATGGAAGGGTTTTTATGCTTTGCCATTTGCATATTCAAGAAATATTTTAAAACAGACTTATCTGCTACAAAAACTATTTACCAATACAGAATTTGCCAAATATGTTAGACAAAACTTCCTCCGAGATATCTTCTCCACTTATCTGCGCAAGGGCCAGTGCAGCTTCCCTTAAATCAATTGTCCAAAAGTCCAGAGGTATTTCCTCCTCTATCGACGATTTCAATCTCACAAGGGCTTCCTTGGTTCGAACAAGTTGCTCACATTGTCTCTGAAAAGTTTATCCACACATCAACAAGTTAATCAGAATCATAAATCAAATCATGATATGCATCAAAATCAATCCAGCTCTGATAGTTTATTGATACATCAATAAGTCAATCAGAATCATAAATCAAATCATGATATGCATAAAAATCAATCAAACTTACAAACAAGACAAAATTGTTACAAGAAAGGCCCTCATTTGGGATACCAACAGAGGAATATGATTAGCAAGTCCAATAACATCTCTGGCTCTGAAGTAGATACACCAAAAAAACAACCAGAAAGATTCCTGGCTTTCCCTCTTGGATTAAACACTATGGTGCAACTCAGGAGTTAGGTCGAAGTAGGCACTCAACCCCACTCCAAGAAGGATAAACAGGTTAAAGAAAAAAGAACAAAACATGGTGGAATGTTTAGTAGTGTTTAGAATAGCAACACTTCCTTGGTAAAGGATGTACATTTCCAAATCAAGAGCTACCTCAAAACTCTGATGATACTAACATGCTGTGTTACATGGACTCGGCACTTTGGGGCGAAGTACCCGTGTCGACGCGATACGACACGGGTGCGGGTGTGGGATCTGTGTCGGATTCGCCTATCCTCTCTCGGACACGGCTCTTTACAGACAGCAAAAGAAATGAAAGAGGTGAGAGCAAAAGAGAGCCTGGTCGAAGCTCCATCCAGTCGAAGATCGAAGACCTCCAATCCAAGCTCCATCCTTTCGATCCAGTCAAAGATCGAAGCTCCATCAGTCGATCGAACAGCCGAACACCCAGACGACTTCGAAAAGCCTCTCTCTCTCTCTCTCGCCTTCTCTCTCTCCCTCGCGATCGCGATCGATGGCTTCGCTTTTCTCTCCCTCTGTCTCTATCGTTCCTCTGTCTCTTGATTCATATCTCTATTCGTATCTATCTATAAATAATAATAATAATAGTTACGGAACTGAATAATAAATAATAATAACTATTATTATTATATATTACATAATAATTATTATATATCATATAATATATTTATAAGATAATAAATACTTATATATATTAATAAAATAATAAATACATGTATGTAAAATAAAATAAAATAAAAAATTAATTGAAACACATTATTTAAAAAATAGAATAAATAAATAAAATAATTAATGTATATTAAAATAAAAATATTTATAAAAAAATTTAAAAATTTGCCGTGTCCCTTGTCGTGTCCGTATCTCCATTTTTTAGAAATTGTCGTGTCTTGTCTCCGCGTTATAATAAATATATATTTTTTTAAAAAACTATTTAACGTATCCCCATACCCGTATCCAAATTTGGATACATATCCACGTATCCTTAATTTTTAATTTTGAAGTGTCCAACCCCTAGATACGCACCCGCACCCGCACCCGATACCCGTACCCGAGTCCGTGTAACATAGCTGACATGTCTCAAGAATTTTATCTAGTTCCCAGCGGACATCCTAGACATGAAAAACCAAGAATTCACAAGTATAATAAACATCCTCCCAGGAAAGTAATCCTGAATAGTACAAAAGTACCATAGACTATTCTCAGCATCCGACTAGGAACAAATATTTGGCACCTGACCTTTTAACTGTGGAAGTTGTTCAGAATTTTCAGACATTTAACTCTTCTTTAGAGGTACAAATATACACTTCAATTTTTAACGTATGATAATAACTTGTAAAGGTTACCTTGGATTTAAATTCTTGATCATGAATTAGATATTTTTTTCCATAAACTAGTAAAATATACTACAATAGCCTGGTAAATGTGAATGGCGATGTTACACGGACTATTCAAAATAAATCAAATATCCGTGTCGGACACTCGACACTTGGACAGTATATGTGTAGATACTTTTCATTGGACACGTATATTTGTATTTAACATAGTTATTTTATATACATATTGTTGTATACTTACAATAAATATCTTTTTGACATTATATGTAACATATAACAATATTTTATCTTGTATAATAGATTAAAAATATAACTTGTTTTTGCCAAGTCCAGGTACCCGTAAATTTAAGGTTTAATGAGTCTGATCTTCAGATACACACCGGCACCCGACACTCTTACTTGAATCCATGTAATCTAGTTGTCAAAGGCTAAACCCCAACCTGACAATGAACTGAGTTGAGATTTCTCAAACTTGGGATCAAATAGTACTCAAGACTCTGGCCGGAACAAACTCATTGATCATGCCAGGTAGGATCCTCCACACAAGTTGCACTACTACCATCCACTAATGGGAACCAAACATTTCCAGCAATGCAATGGTAATCAAGGGAAATAAGTAAAACAGTTGGACAAAATACCATGGATGGGTCCAAGACATTTCCAGAAAAGCCATTAACTGTGGTTAACCAGGAAAAGGTGCTCTCGCAGATATGCTTTATCCAAAAGCATATTGCCATCCTTTCATTCAATAACTCATCAACACAACTTCTTGACTGAGGACAATCACTAAGGCAATGGGAGACAGGCTATGAAGCATGGACACCTCTCCGGAGGCAATGTATGGGTGTCAGACATGGACACACATCGGATACATGATGGACACGTGTTGGACACTCTACCTAACGTGTCCCCCTTTTTTTTTTTTTTGAATTTTTGCACCCGGACACTCTTGGACACGTTGAAGACAGAGAGAAACCCTAACCTAGGAGACAGAGAGAGAAACCCTAACCCATTGAAGATAAAGAGAGAGAAACAGAAAGGGTGAAGAACATGTTGAAGCCCTAGATCGAGGTATGTTCTTCCAATCTGTGGTGTGTTCGACTCTCTCTCTCCCTGTTCGGTGCTCTCTGTTCTTTGTTTCTTTCGTATCTCTCTCTCTCTGTTCGTCTCTCTTGTTCGACGCTCTATCTTCTTTTTTGTTCGACTCTCTCTCCCTCTCTTCGTGTTACTCTCTCTCTCTCTCTCTCTCTCTCTTTTATTCTTTATTTCTCCTTTTTTTTTTACCTTTTTTTAGTAATAAAAGAAACTTTTTTCCGCTCTTTTATTTTTTTCTATATTTTTTAATATTCTTGTTTGCTAAACATTAACACATAGAATACATTATGTTTATTTGCAGAAAAAAAATTAAATTGGGAATGATATTTGATATTAAAGTAAATAAATAAATAATATAAATAAATAAAAATAATACATATTTTTAATTTTACATATAATAAATAAAAAAAAAATGATATATATTGAGCATGTCCCTAGAATGTCGTGTCCCCATTTTTTAAAAATTTGCGTGTCCACGTGTCCGTGTCATGTCCCATGTCCGTGTCCATGCTTCACAGGAGACAGGAAACAATTGAAAAGGGAAACAAAAATAATTAACACAGCTGAATTCACCATGAAAGCAGCTAACCTGGTTCACAGTCCATTTGCGTCCCCCAGAAGGAATCCTGTTAAGACCCACTATCTCTAATATAGCCATTTCCAAATCTGGTAGTCCTCGTCCAGAAACAGCACAAGTAAAAATGAGCTTATTGAAAGAGTTTCCATGAGTATTCCACTCGGAGCATGCAGATGGAGCACAGTCTATTTTGTTGACTACAAGGATCATGGGGGAAGAAGAACCAATTGCAAACTGTAATTTTAACAAGAAAACAAAAAACACTGTAAACCCTCACAGTAACTTTATTTGATAGAGTAATGAAACTAAGCAATGAAATGAAACTAACAGCAGTGATACTCTTTTCTTATACTTTGAACAAATCAAAAGTATAGTAAATATAAAAAAAATTTAGATGAACAAAGACAATGAAGGGAAAAAGACACGAAGCAACATGATTTGAGATACGGACCAAACAAAGCCAATTAATGATGTTCAGCTATTAATTGGTTTAAACACAACATTTAGAGTGAGGAGAGAGATTGGTTAACTTGTAAAACCTTATTGGATTGGATCCTATCAAAAAGGTTCGCATCTTCCACGGTCCACCCATCGGGAGCACTTACAGTAAAAATGATGACATCTGCACCCATAGCAACTGCTTCAGATCTCTCCACACCTGTATATAAACAAAATAGCATATCAAGGACTTGTATATCTTCTCTACAGTCAAAATAACAAAAGAAGCATAACAAAAACTCAGAAAGAGGTAAAAGAAAAAACCATAAATAGGGTGCAAGTCTAAACTTTGTCAACGCACTCAGGCACAAGCTGCAACCATAGGCCTCACATCTATGAATAGCACAAGCTTATTTAGATCATACCAAAAGCAATGGTCATCTAATCTGGCAGGGGAGTAGTCAAATCGTTTTCATGAAATCATTTTATATCTTTTACTTTTCAACTTAATAAGACATTCTAAACAATTTAAATATTTATGGCAGACCATGAACTTACCTTGTTTAAGTTTAGAGTGACTTGCTAATCCACAGTTATTTATCTCAACTTTGTATAAACTAGCATTCTAACAGAATCAAAATACAAGACAGTTTAGATATATCTGCATTTTTTTTTATTCCCAAGTGCTTCAGGAACTTATCTTGTTTAAGTCATCTCTTTTTTATACTGACCTATTCTAACAAAATTAAATTACAATCCATTGTTGGGATATATCCTCATTTTTCTATTCCCAAATGCTTCATGAACTTACCCTGCTCAAGTCATCTCTTTTACTGACTTTATCCACAGCTATTTATTTCAACCTTGCATGAACTAATATTCTAACAGAATTAATACACAAGCTAGTGTTCAGATATATCCTCAAAATTTCATTCCCAAGTGCTTTGACTACATATACAACTTGATTTGAATGGGCCAAAACTTACCTCATCAAGGATACATATATAAAGAAAAAAAATACTCGAAACCTAGGGTATCCCTCTAAACCAAACCAAACCAAACCAAACCAAACCAAATCTTAAGTCCCATCAAATGGGATCGGCTATATGAATCTTTCTTTTCCAATCCGGCTACCACAAAAAAAAAAAAAAAATACACAATTTCATTTTGTTAGAGTATGCCTGATTTATTTTAGTTCTTTTGGAAAGCATATCATGGTATGCTTATAATCACCCAAAACAATCTTTGAAATGATGTTTTCTAAAGATACACTTGCCTTCCCTTATTTTGATCATGTGATCAAACTATTTCAAAACATACTGAATGTAAGTTTTCTGAATGAAACTGTATATTCAATTGTGTCTAATACAAATATTACAACCGATATATATAGCAAACTTAAACCTAATCTAAAATGGGAAATAAGAATAACCTTATACAATCAATCAATCTAAAATATACAAGCAATCTAATTGATATATTTCCATAATATGCCCACACCCCCGCTCAAACTCAAAGTGTTTTAGCAGAAAATACCGAGAGTTTGCCAAGAAGAAACTGAAAGCGGATAGTGGTGTGAGTCTTTGTTAAGAAATCAGCAAGTTGCAAGGCCGAAAAAACGAAAGGAAGCGAGATGGAGCCAGACTGCAGATGTTGACGTACAAAATGACAATCAATCTTAATGTGCTTCGTCCGCTCATGAAAGATAGTGTTATGTGCAATCTGAATAGCACTGCGATTGTCACAGTAAAGGGAGATCGGAGAAGACCGAGGGACACCCAAATCAATCAAGAGACAACGAAGCCAAACAATCTCAGCAGTGGCATGAGTCATAGCACGATACTCAACCTCGGCAGTGAAACGCGCAACAACAGTCTGTTTCTTGCTCTTCCAAGAAATCAAGGAATCACCAAGAAACATGCAGAAGCCAAAAGTGGACTTGCGATCAGTGACATCACCAGCCCAATCAGAATCAATATAAGCCACCAAGTCCAAAGAGAAAGTAGAAGACAACAGTAAACCCCGAAATATAGTACCCTGAAGATAGTGAAGAATCCGAACCAAAGTAGCCCAATGTGTAGAACGAGAAGCAGAAAATAACTGACTAACCACATGAACAGCATAGGCAAGATTAGGGGGAGTAACCATCAGATAGACTAAGCAACCCACGAGCTAACGATATAAAGTAGGATCATCTAAAAGAACACCATCAGCAGTGGTGAGTTTCACATTAAGCTCAATAGGGGTATCAGAAATCTTAGCATCAGTAAGACCGGCACGATGAAAACCTCATTGACATACTTGACCTGAGATAAAAAGTAGCCCTTGGGGGAAGAAGCTACCTCAATATCAAGAAAATACCGCAAGGGGACCAGATCCTTCATTTCAGAGGTGCGGAAAAGATACTGTTTGACCTCAGAGATAGCAAAAGAGTCAAAGCCAGTGATGATCATATCATCCACATATAGTAATAAGGCAACAAATCCAACAAAGGTGTAGAGAAGAAATAAAGCAGAGTCCTGGGCACAAGGATGAAATCAAAACTCAGTAACAGCAATCTGAAAGCGATCATACCAAACACGAGGAGACTGTTTCAGACCATACAGAGCACGCCGAAGGTGACAAACCTGTCCAAAGGAATGGTGAAAGCCAGAAGGAGGACGTATGTAAACTTCCTCGGTGAGATGACCATTAAGAAAATCATTCTTAACATCCATCTGATAAAGAGGCCAAGAACAAACAGCAGCGACAGAGATCAAAGCATAGGCAGTAGTCATCTTGGCAACAGGTGCAGAAGTCTCCTCATAATCAATATTATACTCCTATGAGAAACCTTTGGCAACCAGACGAACTTTGTAGTGTTTAAGAGAATTATCAGAATGAGTCTTGACTTTGTAGACCCATTTGCAACCAACCAGATTCTTACCAGCAGGCAAATGAACCAACTCCCAAGTACTAGTTTTCTGTAGAGCAGACAACTCATCCTCCATAGCTTGAACCCAATGAAGATCCTGACAGGCCTCCTTGTGAAACTGAGATTCTGAAAAAAAGTGAATAGCAGACAAAAAAGTATGATATGAAGCAGAAAAACATGTATTAGACCAACCCAATCTATTTGGAGGATGACGTGCTCTAGTAGGATATCGATATTCAGCAAGATCAGAGTCGTCTGAAGCAGGGGGATCAGCAGCAGAGGTAGAGACAACCGGTGGAGGAGGAGTCGTGTGACGAGAATAAACTAACAACAGAGGAGGAGAAGAAACCGAAGGAGGAGAAGCAACCAGAGATGAAGCAAAAGGAGAAGATGGAACAAGCTCAGGAGGAATTGTTGAGATGTACTCATCAGACGGGGCCTTAGAAGGAAACGGATCAATATGAACCAAATCCTTTTTGGAAACTGGGGTGGTGAAAGGAGGAAGCTGAAAGTAAGGTAGACGTTCGAGAAAGGCAACATGGCGAGAGATATAAAGGCGACGGGAAATAGGGTCATAACAACGATAATCTTTCTAAGTGAGACTATAACCCAAAAAAACACATAAGACAGACCGGACACTAAGTTTGATCCTATCTTTACGGAGTAAAAGGACAAAATAAGTAGACCTAAACATACGAAGGAGGGAGTAAATAAGTTGTTGAGAAAACAAAGCCTCATAAGGAGACTGAACAGAAAGAAGGGGAGTAGGCATACGGTTGAGAAGAAAAGCAGCAGTAAGAACTGCCTCACCCCAAAACGGAGCCAGAACAGAGGTAGAGAGAAGAAGAGACCTAACTGTCTCAAGGAGATAACGGTGTTTACACTCAGCTCAACCATTTTGGGCAGGTTAATCAGTACAAGAAGTTTGGTGAATGGTTCCTAATTTGGCCAAATATTCACAGAATTCGGTTTTAAAGTATTCCCCGCCCAAGTCAGACCGCAATAATTTAATAGTAGACCTAAATTGTGTAGTGACCATGGGCTAGAAAGTATGGTATATCTGGTAGAAGTTAGACTAATGAGTCATAAGATAAACCCAGATGTAACGGGTGCAGTCATCAACAAATGACACATAGTATGTAGAACTCCCTTTGGTAAGAGCAGGAGAAGGGCCCCAAACATTAGTATGAACTAAAGAAAATGGTGTATCAGATATAAAAGTGCTTTTACAAAAAGATAAGGTTGTCATCTTGGCAAGTTTACACCCCCGACATTTAGTAAGTTCATTAGGAGAAATTTTACCCAAGATACCTGATTGAGCTAAAGATCGTAAACGGTTAGCAGACAAATACCCTAATCTAGAATGTCACAAGTAGAAAGGACTGGATAGAGAATCAAACTGAAAAAAGGAAAAGGCAGTTAGAGAAGTTGTCAAAGGCAAATGCAAGCTCTCTACCACATAGAGGTCCCTAACTCTACGGCTAGTCCTAATCTGCTGCTTAGACATCCGATCCTGCACGGAACAGATAGAAAAGGAAAAGATAACATCAAAACCAGAGGCATCAAGCTGATTGATAGATAATAAACTGACAGATAACTGAGGAACATAAAAGACAGATGGAATAGAGACAACAAACATAGCAGATGATAGGACAGACCCAACAGATATAACAGATATACGAGACCCATTAACAGCATTGATAGTAATGGAAAGGGAGGAGAAGTACAATGTTGAAGTAAGAAGAGATGAGGAGTCATATGATGAGAGGCACCAGAGTCAAAAAGCTAGACAGACGAAGAAATACCTGAAGAAGACCCAAGCAAACCTGAATGAAGAAAGAAAACAATAAAGATAGACAGGGATGGCTGGAAGGTAGACAATGTATGCTAAAGCTGACTAATCTGAGCAGTCAAGGAAGCCAAGTCAGGATTAGGAGCCGGAGCAGATGCAATAGAACCGGCGGGAGGCCGAACGGTACTCAGAGGAGGAGCATAGAACTTGATTGGAAATTACCGAGAAAACGAGGCAGACACAGGCAAAGCAAACAAACATCCCTTATTGGGACAATGATACTTCCAATGACCCCTCTGATGGCAGAAGGCACACTCATCAAAAGCTAGAGACATCGTACTAACCAGAAGTTTGAGAGGTTGAAGTGTAATAAATCCAAAATGGGCAACCAGGGAGCAAAGGGTAATAACGAGAAACCTGCGGGTTACAATGTAATAAATTTGAAAATAAGGTATTAAGTATAAACCATCGAAGGAGAATAAAATTTGAAAATAAGTTATTAAGTATAAACCACCGATGAAGATCGAAGCTGAAGGTGATCGAAGTTGAGGAATAGAGTAGATTCTGAGAGATGAAACCAAAGAGAGACTGAAGGAGAACCAGAATCCGAAGTCAAAGTCGAAGGCGTATGAGTGTGAACATAATCGCAAACCAGAGGCAAATAGAGAGAGTTGCGATGCTGATGTTCATGTAGAAACCAGATGGGTCGACCATGAAATAAAACCAGAGAGAGAAGACGAGCTGCAATGAGTCAACAACTAGACGAGTCGAACCACTAAATGGGTGCGACTACCAGATAGCATGAACAAAGAGGAAATCCAGATGGGTCGACTGCGACAAGGCACAATCACGGGCAGATGGGTCACGAACAGATGAGTGATGGGTCACACACCTAAGTTGAACCAGAATGAGCTTGAGAGAAGAAAGCACGAATACAAACAAGAGAGCAACGGTGACGGCTCTAGGGTTTCGGATCAGAGAACGGCTTTGATACCATGTAAGTTTTTTGAATGAAACTGTATATTCAATTGTGTCTAATACAAAGATTACAACCGATATATATAGCAAACCTAAACCTAATCTAAAATAGGAAATAAGAATAACCCAATACAATCAATCAATCTAAAATATACAAGCAATCTAATTGAAATATTTCCATAATATGCTCACATCAAAGAGCAATTCTAAAAAAATTTGATGTAAGCATAATCAACCAAATCAATTTCCATTGCATAGGAAGTCGACATGCCCACAAAATAAAATATGATTACGAAAACCAAATTAAAATTTTTTGAGCGGCAAGCTCAAAAATGAAATCTTAGTTGAAGGTTTGACGTGTTCGCCTTAATCTTGTTTCTATACATCAACTCATACAAGTCCTAACCATAAAGATAATGCAAAGAGGATAGCCATACCGATCTTCTCCACAACATCCTCTGTTTGCCTGATACCTGCTGTATCAAGAAGGGTGATAGGGATACCACGAACTGAAATACTGGCTTCTACGACATCCCGCGTGGTTCCAGCAATATCAGTAACTATTGCTCTCTCACTCTGCATGCTACAAGGTAATTAAGGTACTCAATAAGATGTAAAGCTGCAGAGCTGCAATTATAATTGTTCGCATGGTCAGTGTTAAAGCCAAAGCTTATAAAGAGTAAAAGAGGAAAAGGATGGTAAACAATAAACCCACATTCAGTCAAATATAGTGTTCATCTAGACCTATTCAGAATACTTACCAGTATCAATATCTCATCATCACAAAGAACATACTATACATGAACCATAATTCTTCAATGATAAATTTCAAATGGCAGCCCACATCTTATTGCATACTCTTGTCAAAGAAGATATAGAATGTTCTTTGTGATGATGAAATATTCTGAACTATAATTCTTCAATGATAAATTTCATATACCATCAAAGAAGATAAACCTAGGTACAGAAGTTTGACAGCTGATTCTCTCCCTCCCTCTAATAATTTTTTTTTTTTGGAGGATACTAACATAAATGACACTAAGATCAAGACTATGGAGCAGCTCACCAACCTAAACATATCTCTAAATGCATATCAACATTGTCCCAGGAATAAAGAATTAAGAGGTAAAAAAACTATAGATGAAGAATGAATGTACAGATACTAATGCAGTGACACTCCTCAGCTGTCACGTGAGCAAAACATAAGTAGTGCCAGAAACAATTTGTTGAAACGTACTTTGCTCCATGCATTAAGGAGGCTTGACTTCCCAACATTAGGCCGACCAACAATTGCTATCTGCAAATTTTTATCAAAAAGAACATCACAAAAAGTTCACATTTGCACTAATGCGGAAACGAAAACATTAATGACATCTTTCTTCACACTCTGCCAAAAACATAAAAATGGCCTAATCAGAGTGCAATATGTGTGTAGATGATTATTCCAAATCATGCCACACAGAAAAAGAATGAGGTACAAAAACACCTGTGCAGCAACCTTAAGCATAAATAAGAAGAATTTACTCTAGTACGGAATTCTGTGAAGCATCATTCACAAACATATTAATAATGAAGAAAGATGAGGATCTGGTGGTGAAAAGGAAGTTATGAGAGGATCCATGCCAACTATGAGAAATGCAGAGAGTTTATTCTTTTAAGCATGAAAAGAAGCATACCAGTGATTTCTGTTTCAAATAATACCTGTAATCCAGATTGCAAGAGCTTGTCATAATTGGCAGTTTCCAATGCATTCTCCACATCACCCGACATGGCATGTATTTTTTCCTTAATTAAGTTCAAGTTTAGTGGTGGCATCTCATCATCAAAATCTAAACGAGCTTCAATCTCAGTAAGCAACTCAATACACTGAGCTCTAAGTGATTTAACTAAAGAAGAGAAGCCACCCTGTCATAGCAAATAAGTTATGCAGGATTATTTACAATGACTTCAACTAAGGTTTAAATATTGAGAATACAGCAAATGTTAAAAACTCTTTAGTTAATCAAAGAAGCAATGTATAATTCGCTGGAAGAAAAAGGCCAACAGAATCAGTCCTGAAAAGAAGACGTGCCTGTATTCCGGCTAAAGCAGCATCCGCAGCAGCAACAGACTGAGCTGAAATAAGTTTTCCTACATTTTCAGCTTGGGAGAGGTCTAAGCGACCATTTAAAAAGGCACGGAGGGTGAACTCTCCTGGTAGAAAATAAAAACATATTTTATTTAACATGTAGATCTGTGTGTGTGCGCGCCCACACGTGCCCAGATGTAATTTACATACATATATATGTATGTGCCACAGTTATAATTTAAGATCTATACTGAGCTTAAGTCTGGATTAACTAGCTTGGATGTAACCCAAATGGACCAATCACAAAGTATAATTTCTATGGAATTCATGCTTCACAAACAACATCATCACTCATCTAATTTGCACTCAAATTCAAAACTAGAAAGCCAGGGTCCATATGCAAGCTCTCTTTTTAGACCAGATCCACTAAGAGATAAAAATTGAGAATTAAATGCAAAAACTTATGCAAGTTAACCACAGTTTAAAAAATAATCATTAAATTCTAAAAAAAGTCAAACATCCAACAAATTCACATACCAAATCAACATGTAGTAACCATCTAGTGACATTTGTATCTTATATTAGCTATTTTATAATTTTATCTACAATTCTCAAACTTCATATAGATAGGTACCTCAAATGAGTTGAAAATTCATAAATTTGACAATGATGATATTGACTACCTTAGTCACAGATTGCAGCATTTTGTGAACCACCTAGACTCATAGAATACTAAATATGGGGGCCCAGTGCTGACAGTTTGAAAATTTGCTCTTGACTTTCGAGCAAAATTCACCACTAATGCTCGAAAGTTTCGTTCCAACTCCCTTGTGTTCTTTTAGTTTCTTTTGGTCATAAGCCCAAGACAAGCTACACAATTAAAATACAGAAAAAACACCAACCAAGGTCTTTGATTTTTGTGTTTCTTCTGACTTCTTTATTGAGGACAAGAACAACAAAAAGAGTAATAATAGCAAAACATGCTACTCCCTCTGCGTTCTCTTCCTTTGAATTAGAGCAACAAAAGCAATCCAGTCCATCCCAAGTGTTTGATACAATACAACCACCTACAAATTACCGGAAGGCTAGCTGACAACTTAGTATCACTCCAACTCCCTAACTAATTTATTGCTATTATGTATCAATTGTCTTCAATATACACACACAGACATTCATGTCATACATTAATGACATCATAAGGTGAACAAAATAGAAAAACCCTCATTTATTATGGCAATGCCAGTTGTCCTAATAAAAGATAAATCAAGAAACTGACCTGGTTCAGCAAGCCTTGCCCCACCTTCTAAACAAGCTCTCAATACACGGCGCATGCACACTTCACTCCCATGACATTGTAGCTCAACCACATCTTCTCTCGTGTAAGATCTTGGAGCCAACATGGGTACCACCAATACCTAAGACAGGAGGAAACCCAAAAAAAAACATTAAAAACTAAATCACAATAATAAACACCACATTTAATGCTTCAGCAAACTGCTCTAATATATTCTGACCTTCTGGGACCCAAACAATGAGAACTTAAATAACACAATTCCAAAATTAGATCAAAACCTTGAATGTGTCCTTTCAACAATATTCAAGTATCATAAGATATATATGACACAACTAATGGAACCCCAAAGGCATAGCCATTTAGACCAAGTTTGTTTGGGGATTAAATGGAGGATTTTAGTGGGTTGGCTGACATATGATTGAGCTCCTCATGTCGGCTAATCCATTGTTTGGTTTTATTTTTTATTTATTTTTTTCAGATTGTGTACATGGGACTCTTATCACATATGGAGCACAAGTAATACCTCCACCCCACAGTGTTCCACATATCTCCCTCCCTTGACAGACGGTTAGAAATAATTTTTTTGCTTATCATTTATCTCACCCTAACAAAACGTAAGACAACTAATAGTATGGTGGTATTATTATTCCCACCAATTCCAATCACAATCCCATGGTATTCAATCCCGTAAATTAATCGGGCAACCAAAGGTGACCTTAAAGTTCAACATCACAGATATCCATTGTACAGCTAATGGGTTCTCCAACAAACCCTATGAATGCTCCAATTCCTACATTCAAAAACAAACAAGACATCACAATTCAAAAATGATCAATTTTTCCAACATACTCTTTTTGCATTTGATTCTTTTGCTAAGAAAAACCTCAAATCTCTAAAGAAACAGTAGGAAATTCCAAAATGTACCTCATCAATGACATTCCCATGGCAGTCCGAAACCACGCCGTACTCCACAACATGGCTCGTGGGCCGCCAACCCGAGCGCTTCCCCTTCTTCTTCGCAGAACGAAACACGCGGCCAACAATAGCCACCGCCGACGGACCAGACAGCCGGACAATCCCCACCGCACCGGGCGGACCTCCCAAGGAAGTGACAATGGCTGCAATCGTGCTTGAACTCGCAGCAACATGGTCCGAATTCACAGCACTCTGTCCCAATCTCTCATCTTTCGTCAGTACCAGTGTTTTCTCTGCAATTACAATGACAAAAACATATATGTGAGCTTGTACACACACAAAGATATGTAGAGAGAGAGAGAGAGAGGACCTTGAGGGGAGAGATGGGGTTTTGCTAGGGTTTTGGAATTGGGGGTGGGAGAGAAGAGGAGAGAGAGTTTTTTTGAGGTGTGGATTGAGAATTGGGGAAACAATGAGGCCATGGTTGTTGTTGGTCTCGAAGAAGCCCAGAAGACATTGTTGAGGAGATGGCGAAAGGATGGTAGAAGAGCCATTGCTGTTACCTTGATTTTTCTTCGGCTCAGAAGATAAACCCCCCACACTTGTTAGGAGGAGCGTGGCCTGAATGAAAAAAATGGGCAGTGCTGTGTTTGGTTGGGAGGAAAATATTGACCCATGTCCACCGTGTGAATAGTTCGTTTTGCGAGATTGGTTGAGCACATTATTTATTTTAAAAGTTTGACCCATGTCCACCATATGAATAGTTCATTTTGCGAGATTAGTTGAGCACATTATTCATTTTAAAAGTTTAATCGAATATTGAAAATTATTTAATCTGAACATATTTATTTATGGAAAAAAATAGGTAGATTTTATGATTTTAAAATTCTTAGTCTATTTTTTTAAGATAAAAATACTATTCATGTAGCTATCAACACTCAGTTAATTTAATTTTTTATATAAATAATATGTTCGACAAAACTCATAAGATGAACAATTTGAATTGTTGAGATGGACTTGGGTGGATTAAAAATAAAATTACGCATTTTATAATTCAAAATGTTTCAATAGAAAAAATGTACATATCATCATTCTTGTTCTCGACAAACACTTATGGGTAAATTACATTGACACTCCCTGAAATTTATGTTTATTATAGTTCTTTCTTTACCTATTGGAAATTACATCCCCTTCCCTCAGGTTTAAAGTTTCATTAGAGATTGTTCCCTCCAACAATTTAATTTTTTTAAATACTAATTTTGCCCTCACTGGGTAAATTACATTGACACCTTTCACATTTTAGAAATTACAATCCCCTCCTTAAGGTTTAAAGTAGCATTACCAATTGCCCCCTCGGTTAGTATTAATTGAAAAAAAAAATTCATTGGGAAAAAATTATTTTAAAAAAAAATTATTAGTCAAATTTTTAAATTTATGTTTAAAAACAAACATAAATTCATTTTTTGAATTTACGGTTTTTTTTCAAATTTGCAAACTGATACAACCATTTATAAACTAAAAAAATTATCAAATAAGTTTTTATGACATTTTTTTCAATTTTTGTAAATATATATTGAAAACTGAAAATGAAATGGTTACCAAACAGGCCTTAGATGGTAAAAATATCGTAAAATTAATAAATAATTAAATAAGTTACCAACATAAGAAATGACTTATCAAAAGATTCCTAAGCTATGTACGGTTTGATTTTTAGAAAAAAAATTTAAAAATAAAAAATTAGTTTGGTTAAGAAATAAAAATAAAAAATAATTATCATTTTTATATATTTTTTATCTTTCGAGTGTAATAAACATAAACTTCAAGAGGATATCAATGTAATTTTTATCTTACGTTGGTTTTTAAACAGAAATTTAAAAATTTGACTAACAAAATTTTTTTTCAATTAATTTTTTTTTTTCAATGAATTTTTTTTTTCAACTAATACTAACCGAGGGGACAATTGGTAATACTACTTTAAACCTCCTTGGAGGAGGGGATTGTAATTTCTAAAATGTGAGGGATGTCAATGTAATTATCCAGTGAGGGCAAAATTGGTATTTAAAAAAATTAAATTATTGGAGGGAGCAATCTGTAATGAAACTTTAAATTTCAAGGAGGGGATGTAATTTTCAAAAGGTGAGGAGAAACTATAATAAATATAAATCTCAAGGGGTGTCAATGTAATTTACCCAACACTTATTTACATTGTGATTAAAACGGTTCATTTAAATTTGATAATACAGTTACGATACAACGGGTTCCAAAGGGAATGGGTCGGACTGGTCCACGCTTCTCCAATCGATATCTGGATGGCCAAGCCCACCTGAGAACCTGCACAAGAGTTCAACGGGGAACGGGGAATCCCCCAGCGAACCCTCCGACGAGCAAGTTAGAGAGAGAGAGAGAAGTGAAATATGGAGATATGAATTGGAGATAGAAAACTTAACTTTCTTCATGTCTTCAACGTCTGCTTATATCCTTTGGTAATCATTTTGCCGTCCCTTCCGACCTGCCACCTTGGCTGAAAGTCTATACTGTAGCTTACCTTGTTCAGGGTGAGGGGGTTCTGTTCCGACGGAGGGGTGTTGTCATAATAAATGCTGTGATGGACTGCATTAATGGTGATGTGCAGTGGCAATAACTTTGCAGATCTTTGTCTGCTGATGTGACATGACCTTTGCCTGTCACATGTCTGAATATCATTGGTTCTTCGTGCCATGTTGGCTTCCAACTGTTCAGGATCTCGTCAGTTGGGTTATGTGTTGGGCTCTAAGTGATGGGCTTGGGTTGTTCATAGTGGGCTATAACCTTTGTAGGCCTAACCGCGTCAGTAGTCCCTCATTCCCAAGTGTAGCTTTAGCCCAACGAAGGGAATACTGATGGAGAAGATGAAGAGGACCGACCGCGAAGGGTGGCCGAGTGGAAGGGCCGACAATGAGGAGGACCGACCGCGAAGGGTGGCCGAGTGTGAGGGCCGACAATGAGGAGGACCGATCGCGAAGGGTGGCCGAGTGGATGGGCCGACAATGAGGAGGACCGGCTGCGAAGGGTGGCCGAGTGGGAGGGCCAACCATGAGGAGGACCGACCGCGAAGGGTGGCCGAGTGGGAGGGCCGACCATGAGGAGGACCGACTATAAAGGTTGAGGTGGGGGGGCGCGGGGCTCAAGAGGCGGCGTGACACGTGATGACTTGAAGTGGAAAAGACAAGGTAAAATGAGGTGACAGTGAATCGTAATCGTACACGTGACAGCATCTCGTGGGGAGGAAGATTAGAGTTGGGCTAGAAATGAAACGATAGGTCATGATAGGTGTTGAAAAGACAGTTTTGGTAGATGTTTTGAAAAGTTTTCAAACTGGCGAAAATTAATTGTGACCCTTGGAATACGGGCAAGCCTTGGGCTTTTGGTATTATTCGATTTACCTACTTCTTTGCAAAAAATCAAAACATTCCAAGTGTTAACTCCTTTGTTGCTGACGATACACCTCTGCAACATTTCTTGAATTTTCTTACATCCGCTTCCGAAGCTATTCGCAGGCACACCACAGAGATGGCTCAAGAAGAAACTAGAACCGCCAGGGTTGATCCGTTTGGAGATGACGACGCGGTAGAGTTGGCAGAGCAGTACCGGACGGAGAGACAAGTGGAGAGGGTAGGGGAGTCAGTGGTACAATCCCATTCTTCCACCATGATAGCGGCTCCGAAGCCAATCAGCCAGGCGGAACCAGATCATTGGCATACAAAGGTTGACAAATCAATGGTTACTGCGGCGGACTTGGAGGCTATGTGCGAAAAATACCAGGTTCTCGCTGAAATAGAGTTACTGTTGCCGTTGTCAACGGAGAGTCCATCCGACGCCCGGTCGGGGGAGTTTGCCCTGTACAATGAAGCATTGAAAGGAGGGCTGAGGCTGCCACTTCCGCAGGTGGTAGTTGATGTCCTAAACCGGTTGGAGGTAGCGCCGGGGCAACTAATGCCCAACGCGTAGAAGATTGTGTTAGCCTGTGCAAGCGTGTGGCCGAAGATGACTGAAGGGGCGGCGATGACGGTGGACGAATTTTTCGCGTGTTATAAGGCCTCAGGACAGCAAGAGACTTGGGTGACGTTGCAGGCGGCGGCAGGGAGGGGTCTGGTGCCACTCGCAAACACACACACACAGAGAAAGAGAGAGAGATAGAGAGAGGGCTGTTGATTTGGGAGGTGAAATCATCGGCTCCAATGATCTTTGATCTGTGTGAGAGAAAGAGAGATCATCTTTTTGTGTTGCAGAGAGGGGCAACCACCCTGAAAAACATCCCAATCTCTCTGTTGGGAGCCGCATTCATTCTTCCAGCGTAAATAGAGATGGCAATTTGAAACCAGCCCGATGGGGACCCGACCCCCCGATCCCGAATTGTGCGGGTTTTCCCCGAAAAATACCCCCGACGAGACGGGGATGGTATTTAAAAATCAATCCCCGAACAGATTCGGGCCGGGGACGGGGATTAGTGTCCCAGCCCCGTACCCGACCCGGCCCCGTCCCCGATCCCCGGCCCGATTTATCCCCGCTGTTAAATTACAATTTTACCCTTATATATATATATATATATAAACTAGGTCTCTCAGTCTCAGATCTCATTTCTCTCCTCTACCCCGTCTCTCAACTCTCTACCTCACTGACTTCTCTCTCTCTCACAGATCCACCACACCACTTCCGCCGTCCAGGTCCAGCTCGCACCACCACCACCACCACCACCACATCGCGTCTCTCCTCCACTCCACCACTGCGTCTCATCCACTCCCTCTTCTCCACGTCGCCGCCCGCTCATCGCGTCTCATCCACTCCCTCTTCTCGACGTCGCCGCCCGCCACCGCGTCTCATCCACTCCCTCTTCTCGACATCGCCGACCACCACCGCCACCACCGCGTCTCATCCACTCCCTCACAGATCAGATCTTCTTTTTTTTTTTTTTTTTCAGATCTGTCCACTCCCTTACAGATCCCTCTTTTTTCTTGTATTTTTTGAAACTTTTTTTAGATGTTGTTGATGATGAAATTTTCTGAAAATTTCTAAAATTTTTCTGAATTTTTTTTTGTTTCAGATATGTTTTTAGATGATTAACTTCTTGTTGTTGTTGATGATGAAGATGAGTTCTATTTTCTGAAACTTTTTTTAGATGATGAAATTGTTGTTGTTGTTGATGATGAAATTTTTTGAATTTTTTTTTGTTTTGTTTCAAATCTGTTTTTAGATGATAAACTTGTTGTTGTTGTTGTTGTTGTTGATGAGTTGTATATTCTGATTTTTTTTTTTAGTCGGGGAATGCTCGGGGTCGAGAAAACCCGATCCCCGTTGGGGGCGGGGGTGGGGCAGTGACACTTTCCCTGTCGGGGATCGGGGCCGGGGAAAATTCGGGCATCGGGAATCGGGGACGGGGAGTGTGGTCTTCGGCCCCGCTCCGCCCCGTTGCCATTCCTACTAACAGCCATTAACGAAAATAAGGCAACGTTTTCTCAAACTGGGATCATCTTAGTTCTAAATTGGTTGTCGTTGATGTAGAAGAACAGCCCCAGAGGGGTCCTGCGCCCCAAGGAGGGGGGGTCAGGCTGACGACTGCTATCTACCACGCCCGCGCGGTGTCTGGGCGGCTGGAGAGAGAAGAAGGCCTAGCCAAGGCAGCTGTAGATCGCCTTGTGGGGATAGTGGATGAGG